AGACTTGAGAAATGTCGTTTTCACCATTTTTTAGCATTTTAGCAGAATGCTGCATAAATGGCGCATGATTCAATGAATAATAACTACATCTCATTACCGCAAACCAAGCAGATGACGAATTCAAGCTCACCTCTAATAAAACTCTTCATAAAGCTTCTAAATTATCAACCATTCCTTAATCACTTGAGAAATACCTAAGTCAGTACAAAGTTATAATTGTGTACCGAGAACTTATTAACACAAATACTGAATAGAGTAATCAGAGAAATTATGCGAAAGGATTTTTCAAAATGTATATTTGATACGACTAGCACGAAGATTGTGAATAACTCATCAATAATGTTTTAGTGATCGTGGAGGGTGCTCTAAATACAAATTTTAAGATCATTTTTAGTCAGAAATTTTTTGATAAAAGATGTGTATTATGAGAGCAAACAGAACTCGGTATTGCTAAATCAGCAAAAAAAGTTGAATGAGTGGCAAGAAATAAACTTTATAAACAATTGAAACGATATAATGGCTACAGATGCAGCGCAATAGGTCACCACTCTTTACGCCATAAGCCACCGAGAAGCTCAAGTTATGAAAGACTGTAAAGGTTAAGAAGACATTTGAGCAGTAAATTATTATAATGCTAGAAGAAAATACATAGATAAGTTTCTGATTGACAAAGGTGATTGAAGCGGAGCCGAGAGAGTCATTTAAAGAATGGAAAAAAGTGATACAAGAAAAACAATTTGTAGTCTCCTAGGCATAACTGCGATAGCCTCGAGTTCATGTAATCAGAAAATGAGCATATAAAACTGGAATTAACAACTGGCTTGTTAGTAAACTTCTGTTTCATCTTTGTTTGAATTTATGATATGACCAAATTGTTTGTGATATCAGTCTAACACTTGTGATTCATAATAAATTCTTTGAAAAATCTTGTTACAAGTGCAGAAGGTTGACGGTCTTATAACATACTAACAGTGAAAAAAATAATTTCGATAACAAGCGTCAAAAAATGATAAAGTCTTCTAGAATGAAAGTCTCGAAAATAATTTTTTTCTAATTGTTAAACATTTTCTTAATATAATCTTTCGACATAATGTGCAATAAAACAAATTTTCCTCAATTCCTTAATCTGTAAAGCCATCAATCATATGTTTAGCCAGTTATTTACAAAGTAAAAAAGGCTATAAAAGTTTTGTTTCTTTTGGCAGTCTTACGTAATAGTTAGTGATCGTGAACTGAGTGCTGCGTATGGTGTTTTACTTTTGTGTAAAATTTTTAATTATAACTGAACATCAGTGAGGTAGAATACGATCATTTAACAATCAATTTTGTTAGTTTAGCTAAGAAAAAGTTCTTGACTGTCGACTACCCTCAGCGTTTTGATCTGACCAACCTCAGAGTGATGTCAGTACAAAATACTGTGCGTGCTACCTTCAGCATTTGAAAATGTTTTGATAAATCCACAATTAACTTCAAATTATCAAAAACAAAAATGTACAGTAGCGAAAGTGACGACAGCTACAGTCATTGTTGTTTATCAAATTCAGAAGTTTTAAAATGATAATTACATGAAACATAAACAAATTTAAAACCTCCACAAAATTTGAATTTTAAATTAATAGTTTCAGGAAATAATAGAAGACATAAAAGTTATATTCTTGTGAAGTTCATCTGCAACAGACAGTATAGAGTTCTAGTAACAGTACATAAATCTTCGTTATTGCTGTTGTTGTTGTTGTTAGAATTCATTTTCAAAGCTGTGACACTATTTACCACAATACAGTAATAATTGGCACATTCTTATTCGACTAAAATGAAGTGGTGAAAATTGAGAACACCAAAGTATTTTTAATGAATGTACATTTTCAAAATTTGTATATGTATAATTTAAAGGTCAAATACAAAGATGGAACAAATCGGAATATTATAACTGTTAAAAAAAATTTTTTCCGAGATTTGTTAACTGATTGAACAATGACAGTCTAATTTTGAAACAATACTTAATAAACAAAACACTTACTTATGACGCTGTTTCAAAAGAAAAGGTTAAACCACAGAAAAATAATGGCTTAATTTTCACAAACACTTGTAAAAGTTTTCGCTTGAAAATTAGATGACCATTTTTGAGACAGAATACGGTATACAGTAATTATCAAATTTAAATAAATACTTTTTAAGTTAACTTTTGACTTTAGGATTTAATAATTGGCTCTCATTTAGACTGGTGGCCCCATCATGCTGATTGGCTGGAGAGGATGATGCCAATCAAAAGCTCGCTTTTTTTGTACAGTATGTGGATGCCATATACAGTACGTGTAACTCATTAATAACGGTGAAAGATACCTCCTCACTTCTCTGATGCACAGCCTGCGCAACCCGTCTAGAGTTGGTTGCATACAGTTACATAGGGAACTCGTAAGGCGGAAGTATTTGCAGGTTTTTTTCCGGATTTGGACGAAAGTGAACTCGGTTCGTTTACCCCACTGACTTGGCGTCAGATGGTCCCTTCAATTGTAAGGCGTCCACATTTTGATGAAGAGGGGGAGAAAGCTGAGAGAACGGCAAATGTCCCTCTCTTCGACACAGCTAAAGAAGAGGGAAAGGCAAGTGAAGCAAACGGAGCTCAGGAAGCTTTCTTCTTCTTTCTCTCCTTTACTTAATCGGAAAAAACTTCAAATATGCCTTAAAATGCTGCAGCCTCGAGCTTTGATTTGCCGCGGGGGAGTGTAAGTTAGCGTGTTGCGTGGTGGTTGCTGGTTTTCTATTCCCAGCAAATTTTCTGGTTTTTCGCTGGGAAACCTTCAGAATTTCCATTTGTGTTTGCAAATCCTTGAGGCTGAAAGTTGCCGTCTGCTGTTCTTGGATGTTATTCATCGTCTTCCACCAATTAAGTGTTGATCGGTGTGCGTTTTCTTAAACTCCGATAGATTTCTTGCGTAGTTTCGGTCATCGGGATTTAGAATCTTTCTCAGAAGATTACGCTTTTTGATGAAAAGTTTGAGGCTTTTCTTCAAATGCTTGGGGTTCTTTTCGTTCAACGAGTTTGTTTTTGCGGCAGCGGTATGACCTCAACTGCCGATAGGAATTAAGGCGGTAGTGTGCGGAGAAGGTATTTTTGATGCAAAAAGAGAGTTTGCAAGAAAAAGGTAGGGTTTCAAGTGGGGAAGTTTTTTGAAACGGGAATTTTAAAGCCAAAAGAAGTTTTTTATCTATCTTACTGTTGGACCCAGGTTCGCATGCCAGTATACGACCAAATTGCACTGGATATGCGCCGGAAAACTGGCACTACGATAAGCTTTGCCACTATCGTCTCTTACTTTAAAGCCTTCCAGGATGTGTGCATCTCTTACTTTAACGCGCATCCTGTTAAGTTAGGCG